TGCTTATTGACTTATTTGTAATATTTTATAGGTATTCCCAATACAAATGAAATGCCACCACCTCCATCTAAAAGTTCAAATCCACCCGAGTCCTGAGTTAATAATTACAATCCCATCCATCTAGAGGGAGAAGAGGGGGAAGGCGTCGATCAAACCGTGGTGGATGTGGCGGTGGTGCTACACCATTGAGCAAATTAATAGATGAGGTTCTTGTAGTTTAATTTTATTATAGATGGTGTTCTTTCTTTTAAAATATAATAATAATATTTTTTATTATCTTAGTGCATTTTTTTTCTTATGCAGGAGTTGATGAGTAGTGGACGAATGCCTTGAGTTTGAGCTATTTTATTGGTGATGATTGAGATATGTTGTGAATTGTGACTTGTGAATCTGTGATTTGTATTCACATTGTGTTGTGATTTGAATTTTGGATATGGTTTGTTGTGTTGTGAATTGGATTTGGAAGTTGGATGTTTGGAACTATTTGTTTATTGTGTTTATGTGCTTCTTTTTATGTGTTTTATGTGTGTAGTTGAGTAGGTTTTAAGTTTGTTTTCTTGTCTAACTGGTTCATTTTAGTTGATTCCGTGTGTATTTATTTTCTCTTTGGTGTTTGTATTTTGGCGTATTTTCTCTTGTCTTGGTGCAATTTTTAGGTCTATTTTGGAGGATCAAAGAGAATAATCGAGCCAAGTTCCGAGAACATGAGTCATTCCAAGAAACCCCGAGCCGTTGTCGAGTCATTACCGTACACAAGATCCGAGAGTCCAGTTCCCTAGCGAACGTATTCGCCACTTAGTGAGTGTGCACAAGACTCACAAGACCGATCCGCATGGCGAATGCGTTCACCGCATAGCGAGTGTGCACTAGACCACAAGGCCAGTTCGCTACCTAGCGAGTGCTAAATGGGGCGGGCCGAGCATTGTCGACCTCCGCTAGTGGTGTTAGAGGGTTCGGTTCAGTGGCGGTTCCAGGACATTTTGGGTGTTGTGGATGTGTTATAAGTTGGCTTGGGTGATGTACCGCGGCTTGGATTTCAACTCCGTTAGGCAACCGAGTTGGTTTTTGGAAGTTTCGGAGTTGGTCCTCTTTCGTTGCGGAGCTCTCTGTGGGTCGAATTGGTTCTGTTGGCCCTGCTTGGTCTAACTATTTGGGAAGGACTTGTTCCTTTCGTCTATTATTTTCTTATGCTTTAGTTTGTTTTGGGTTTTGAGTCTGTTTTTGTGGTTTGTGCTTATTTTAATTTGATTTTGTGTTTTTTGTTTGGGCCGTTGGCCCATATAATCCCGAGTGTGAGCAGGTATTATTTCTTTGGGATCTTGCTAATTCTCTTTTAGAGCTTTGTTATAGTTTTTTTATTACTAGTGTGTATCCCGTGCGATGCTTGGGTACAATATTGAATTAACAATATTATAAATAGACCTCGAGTTTGAGTCACTCAACGGCGGAAATGGAAACTAATATTGATCCTATTTAATAAGAGGGAGAAAAAAATAATTATAAATTAAAGAAGAGGGTAAACAATACTTAATAATTATAAATTAAAGATACGGGGTCAAACAATGTAAAATTATTTTGTATAAGAGAAATATAAAATTTACATTATTTTATATAAGAGAATATAAAATTTGTGTGTTTAATATTAAAAGCACCTAAAATATTATATCAGTATATGTAAAAGTATTCAAAATTTTCTATATTATTTTTGAAAGATATGCAGTCACCTACAACTTTTATAAAAAATTTTAGAAGGAAAACATATCTAAAAATGTTTGAATTTAACATTGTGTAAAAAAAATTATAGACTATTTTGTAAAGAAAATATGGCTACAAATATTTAAATTTAACATTAATTATGTATATGTGTATATGTAAATATATATATAGATGAATATGTAAAAAAAAGTCTAAACAATTTGTTTAAAGTATCTAAAATAAGCCTAATTTAATAAACACATTAGGTCAGATGATATCGAATTTATGGTGTTACTTCAATCTAAAAAAATTTGATTACACACCATTTTAAAATTATTATTATACTTTTTACATTGTTATGAGGATGTATTGTTAGCTTATAATATTTGTAAAAATATTAGTAATTAGATCGATGAAAATTAACTTTTGATAGTAGATAATGAATTTCTAGTAGTAATTATGAATTGGTTTCTATTTTTTTTTTTTTTAAGATAATGGATTTCTAGTAGTAATTATGAATTAGTTTCTATTTTTTAAATCTGTATAGATAAGAGATGAGATTTTTTTAAACACGTGAGATTTTGTAACAAATAAGAGATAAACTCGTGTAGATTTATCTATGAGATTTTATAAGCTATCAATTGTTTTGTAAACTTAGCGAGTTTTTTGTTCAAATTTAAATGTTTCGATTTTTCTGCCTTCTCATAATTGCCAAACAAGTTTTGATAACCTAAAAAATAGGAAAAAGAAAAACATTTTATTGTCAAACAACGGTTTTGATAAACTAAAAAACAGGAAAAAGAGAAACAAATCTTTACACAATTAATGAACCGATTTTTTTGCCTATTTAGATTTGTCCAACAATTACTATATGTAGGATATATTTAATGATTTTGGCGGGAAAAAATTTCTAAATTTGTAAAAATGTTATTCTTTTTATATAATGATGATAGATTTGTCTCTTTGATTTATAACGTTGCTAGTTGCAGTTTTAAGTGGTCTTCTGACCTGTTACTTTTTCAGTTGTTAATTGTATTATTCAGTCGTTGTCTTTGCACATTTGCACGTTTTGATTTGTAGGTAACGCATCAAGATCGTATTTTGCGCACAAAAATCCTTTCTTGCGCAGGTAAGATATTTTCTTGCCCGTGAACAAAGCCACGACGTCGTTTTAAAGCATCCCATTTTTCACTTTTTCCTTAAAATATTTGCTGTGATTTTTATTTTTATTTTTTTGCCGGTGAGGTAAGCATAATAGTTCAATGGATATAGCCGGTATGATGCTGGCGTGTGGCTGACTCACCCGGCGCTCTAAAGCTAGAAACTGAGGAGAAGATGTGGAAATTGAGTTTGTTAAAACCATTTTTTTTTTTTTTTTTTTTTTTTTTTTTTTGGGTGAAAATTTGGATATTTAAGGGGCCTGTGTGCAAATCTGAACTTAATGCTCATGGGCTCCTCAATCTGAACTAAATATCTCGCTCGATTTTGGGTTCAGATTCTTTAGCTGTTCTTGTTTCTGCGTTTTTACTTTGTTAAAAAGGTTACATCTTTGAAATTTGTTTTTTTGATAGATCTGTTTTTGTAGTTATCCTTCTGATTTATTTTATTTTCTGCATTTTTTTTTTCAGGGTTTTGGTGCCTGATTTCTACTTTTTGAGTGGGATTCGTGAAATTTTGAGGCTTTTGCTGAAATTTTCAGACCATATAATGGAGGTTATTTCTCATCCACATGTTGATGATGAATGCAAGTCAGAGATGGGTTTTGAGAAATATGGGTATGGCTGCTATTTCCCTCCTCTCTCTGTCTTTGTTACGGTCCGGTTACGGAACCATTCCGTCGGGGATTTGTAATCGTTAGATAAACTATCCATGACGGTTACATGATGATCTAACGGTTACAAATCCCGACGGAATGGTTCCGTAACGGGACTATAGCATTTCCCCTCTCTGTCTTTGTTACTATTTGTTATATATTAAATGTGCTTTTTCTGCTCAATGTCTTAGTTATGTCTGTATAAGCAATTACACTAATAGGAAGTGATTTTGTGTAAATCTCCAGTTGCTTACATTATGAAAGGAAGTGCAAGATTATAGCTCCTTGTTGCAATGAAGTATTTGATTGCAGGCACTGCCACAATGATTCAAAGGTGCAATCTTTATGTAGTTTTTTACTTGTTTTTTAGTTTATATTTATGTTGATTGGATCCTTTATGTTAACACTCTTATACAGTTAAATTTGACATTATTAATCTGTATTGAGCAGAATTCTCTAGATGTCGATCTTCTGGAGCGCCATGATATCCCGCGTCATGAAATAAACAGGGTTAGTTTGTTCTCTGCATTTTGAATGAACTTGGGCTAGTTTCAGTTTCTTTTAAAAAAAATTTACTTCTATAGCTCTATCGAGTTTGAGAGAAATTGACAAGGAATATTGTATTTTACTATGAAATGATACATCAATATGATCAGAAAGGTGAACCCAAAACAAGATTTACCGACTATCTCAACTATAATTTCTTGTTATGTTTTTTGGTAAAAAAAATTATTGAGTATCACTTTAAGTGATTGCTAAGTTCATTTGACCTATTGATAAAAAGGTGTCATCATCTTACTATCCGATCTCAGATGGCTTACGTTAGTGGTATTGGAGTTTGTACTGTTGCCCGATTCGCAAAATTCTGTGTTTAAATTTGTTTGGCAACATGCGTTGTAGGCCGTTTTTCAAAGTTATTTTATTGGTTTGAGCTTGCTTATGGCTCGACGTCAATAGTCAGAGCGAATTCAATAGTTTGTCGTTTAGACAATTAATCATATGTATAACGTCACTTATACATATTTTGGCTTTGTTTGTTTTCAGATCATTTGCTCTTTGTGTAACACCGAACAAGACGTAAGTTTCAATATTTATGACCTATAAACAGAAGTGCTTATTGATATTTTTTTAATGAAAGAACTTCTTTTTTACTTTTTACGTAGGTCCAACAAGTGTGCATTAGTTGTGGCATTTGTTTTGGGAAATACTTCTGCCCGAAATGCAAATTCTTTGATAATGACGTAAGATTCTCTGATCAATAATCAGATAAATAAATACGATTTATTTGATATCTATTTATAAACACAGCTCCTGTTTTCTCATTTCAGGTCTCAAAGAATCAATATCACTGTGATAAATGTGGAATCTGCAGGTTGATAAGTTTTCTCCGTAATTCATTATATTATTATTATTGTTATTCTAAACATGCTTAGAAAGTTTTTGGCGAAATCAATGCCTTCCCCCTGCATTTGTTCGCATGTTCACTGTATATTGTCAATCCTTTTTTTTTTTAATACAAAATCGAAAGTGAGCATAAAATACGTACCTATTTCCTTTTAACATATATGATATATACATGTGTATTATATATCCATATTCCAGCCCAAAGCTAATGTCACTTTAGTCATGCCCCTTAATTAAATTTTATGCAACTTAAAGAAATTGTGTCTGTAAAGTCATAAAGCTTATTCAATGTCTTATTTTGGTGCTGCCCCTTTATTTAGCTAATTAATCGAGACTATATCTGATTCACTCTTTTTTTTTTCACTATTGTTTATGGTGATAGAACGGGCGGGGAAGAAAATTTTTTCCATTGTGATAGATGTGGTAAGCCCACCATCTTCCAGAATCACACATCTGATTCTATGGATAAAAAATCGAGCACTTACAGTTATGCTACTTTCTTTCTTTTTTTTTTTTCCAGAATGTTGCTATTCGATTTTGTTAAAAGCTTCGCACGTATGCGTAGAGAAGGCCATGCATCACAATTGCCCTGTTTGCTTTGAGGTAAATATGTTTTTATTCCAAGACTTTACGTAAAAGTGTTTCTTCCCCCATAAAAGGCTCGTTTTTTAACATATTATCTATGAGCAGTATCTTTTTGAGACAACAAGAGGCATTGCCGTGTTGCCGTGCGGTCACACTATACATTTGGACTGTGTTAAGGAGATGGAGCGCCATTTCCAGTAAGATTATTGCATGAATCTTTTGTAAATGCTTTTTTTTGCCTTTTAATAATGTATCTTTTTATTAGTTTGCCGTTCTAATGGTAGTATAATCTCATGCAGATATGCTTGCCCGATTTGCTCGAAATCATATTGCGATATGACCCGTGTCTGGGAAAGGATTGATCAGGAGGTATATATACACACATTACATGCAATATCATGGATATCCTCATAATCACAAAAACTACCCCTAAGGTTTAGTCAATTTACAACATAAGTCTCCTTCAAAATATACTAATGTTAATCTGACAACAGGAGCATTTGCAGTATTTAAAGATAGTTTTTTTTTTTAAAAAAAAAAAATTGTAATGACTTAAATGAACCGAATGTTGCAAATATCGGCTGACACGTTAAAATTTCAGGTTGCTTCGACTCCTATGCCTCAAATGTATGAAAATAAGATGGTAAGAGTGTTTTTGAGCGAATCCTCATTTCATACTTGTTTCCTGTTTACATATATTATTACCATTGTTCTAAAAATCCGCCTAGACCCTAGGCGCTAGGGCGCCTCCGATTTGCAAAAATCGACAGAAAAAATCGGTCAGACGGCTAGGTGGGCCTAGGCGGACTTGGCGGGCTCGGCTATTAGGCGGTTGGGCGGCGCCTAGGCGGACCTAGGCGCTCCTATAGCTCGGTGACAATTTTTTAGTTTTTTTATTTTTATTTTTTTTCATACTAGTTATATTATTTTATTCCCGTATTTTCTTTAAAAAAATTTAATATTATTATTTGGACTTAGGTGTGTGGATTTAATATATGTTGAGATAGTTTTATTGTAGGTAGTTAAAATAAATAAAATATAAAGTATTTAATATTGATTTCTAGACCTCGACTAGGCGCCGACCTAGGCCCTGTCTAGGCGCTGGTCGAGCGCCTAGCGACTTTTAGAACTCTAATTATTACTCGAGAAGCTTAATGCATAAATGCTACAATGTTTTTAGGTCTGGATTTTATGCAACGACTGTGGAAAAACATCGGAGGTTAACTATCACATTGTGGCCCACAAGTGCATGAACTGCAATTCTTACAATACGAGGCAGACGAGAGAGGCCCACACCACGTGCTCGCCTGGAATGTCTGAGATGGTCATATGATTTGATTCAGCTGGTGATTAAATTGCACAGGGACAAAGAAAAAGTGACGTCGAAGTTAAAAGTTTCGGCTGACGAAGTTAAAGCAGCAAACATTCCTATATTTTTAGCTGATTGATTTGGACTGATCTGCTTGTGTAGCCATGTAAGTGTAGTATGTATTGGTTTGTATTCAAGTCTTGTTTATTGTTCCAGAAAATGCAGATTGTGTTGACAATAAGATGAGTCTATTATGGACGCGTCTAGATACAAATATATCCGCTGAGTTTTTTTATTAGTTATAGTTAATTTTAAAAAATGAGGTATAATTAGTTGTCAGTGAAATTTTGAGTTTTTGTTAAGATAATATTTAAAGTAAAATAATTTAAGTTGATTTGATATAAAAGTAGGAGAGATGATGTGAAGCGTTGATTATATGAATTGAAAAAAAAAAAAAAA